GGTGAAGTGGGGACAGATCAAGATTCTCAAAGCTGCACCACAACTCAGTTCCTGAGTGAGAATTATAATCCAGCCCTCATAACCCCAAGATTCATCCTTGGCCTGCTAGCAAGCAGATGTTTCCGAATTAATTATGCTACGGAAAATGTATCAGCTGGTATCCTGCAGTACAGCAAATGTATTTCAGAATATCAAATAAAAGCCAGGACTTTCTTGGGAGTTGCGGACTAATTTTTTTTTTCTCTAAAAGGTGTCTGTCATCTAAACTTCATTTGCATTTTTTAAAACTAGAATGAAAATGTTCACTGGCTTTTGCAAAAGGTCAGAGAAACAATATTTTTATGGTTACGTGTTCAAAGATACATTTGCTTAGTATTTATCTTCTGTGATATCCATAGTTTTGGTTTTACCTTTCTTAATTTACTTGCCTTCTTTGGAAAAGAAGCCATATACTCATTAATGAAAGAAAAAGAACAACTGTTTGTTTTCATGCAGACTAAATGTGTAGATTACAGGGTATTGTTTTGCTTGTTCTTCCTAAATTGTCATAGATATTGGAGAACTTACATGGTGAACAATTAAAATTAAGGTTTACATGCTAACATCAGTTATCAGTCTGCCACCTTAGTTGGAGAATCAGTTAGGACATGAAATGACTGGGCAGAATTCCATAAGAGGAATAACATTTTATCCCATGGGCAACTGTGTTCATATTAGGGTGAGTGGAGTGATGTTAAGACTATATTTCTTATAAGCGAAAGTTGTAGAAGAGGTAGAAGCTTTCATTTTGGGGGAGAAAGGAAATTTCTCAAGAAAGCTATTGCATGGTATCCTTCTGCAATATTAAAATGCACATGCACACACACCCCAAAGAAAAAAACCCCACACCCAAACCAAACACAAAACATCTATTACGTTTCATCTTAAGGACACCCCAAAATGCCAGAAACATTTAGTTTTAACTAAGCCTTGTAGACAAACACACACAAATAAATCTAGTGTACATTGTGCTACAGTGTTTAATAATTTTTTCTTTGACTTTCATTATGAAGTTGATTTCTCTGGTCATGATGCTTTCAGCCATTTGTGTCCTCAGTACTAGCACCATTTGGCTGAAAGGTGGTAAAAGGTGTTATTCCTGTCAGTATCCTGGAACTGGAAAAGTCTGCCTGGATTATCAAACCAGTGAAAGTCATGCTCAGAAAATCATGTAAAAGTTTGGAGACATGTAGGCAGCAAATATCAGTGGCAACAGAGCACTAGAAATGTCCTGTAAACTTCAGTCAAAGAGCAAAAAAACACAAGGATAAATGGTGTCACACTCAAGAATAAATATTTTCAAAAGTTTTGCTCTCAAATTCAAGGAAATCAGAGTTGTATCAGAACTGATTTATTTTAAATGAAATTACTCAGTTGTGTAATTTGCAGAAAGTTGGATAAAGGCCATGTTTCCCCTGCTCTTTGAAGTCTTCATGAAAAAACATGACTTCAGTGGGAGCAAGACCACAATAATTTATCCTTTATTACTGTTTTTCTCCATCTCTACCATTTTAAAATAGGTAGTACTGTTTGTTCTGTCAGTACTCTTAATAATGTATTATACTTTAAAAATTGCTATTTTGGGAGTCATGGTGGGTTTTGGTTTTTTTTTTGCAAGGCCAAAGTGCTGCTCTTGGGCTATAAATCTGTGGTGGTTGGTTAAAAGGTTAAATGTACATTAGCATGTCCTGTCACTTAGACCTAGATGGAGTTAAAGCAAGTAGTGGGGCAAGTTCAGTGGCTTTAAATGAGCTATTGTTAGTCAAATCCCTGCAAAGCCAAATGAATGTTATGTCATTCTGTTTTATAATTTTCAGACAGAGAGCTCTGGCTGACTGGTAACTTCACATATTCTGATCTATTCTTTCCTGTTAGCAATATGTTTCCTGTCCTGGCATTCCAGTCTGTACATTTTTTCTTATTTTGGACTAGTGGAACATAAAGTGTTACTGTAAATAGAGTTAAAGCTGTATGTAATTTATGAAACTAATTTTAAAGACCTTCCCTTTTAGTAAAACTGGAAAAAAAGAGATACCATGGCCAATAGTATAGCTAGCAGTATGCAGAATATAACCAGGGCTCATAATCCTGAACACTGGCACATGTTACAGCAAGTGCAGTGAGTCTGTTGCACTCAGATCTATTGCTTATGTAATTTCCATGTGGCAGTACATATGTACGGATGTCCATAGTTGTTCATAACTTGGAGCTTGTGCTCAACAAGTCAAGAACAATGCTGGGACTTCAGAGAGTCCTCATACTGCTCCTGTTTTGTCCAGATGTGATTTTTGAGTTGAACTGGTAGGCACATATGTCAAGATCTGGAAGCTTCCCAGCTCTGCATATGGAACAGAAGTGGCTGTAGCACTCCGTACACTGATTTTCTGTTCTGCAGTGTATGTCTGCAGGCGTTGGTCTGTTAAGGTTGCGGTTAGGGGGGCTGGTTTTGTGGTCTCAAGCAGCAGTTACAGGGATATGTTCAAGGATGTGATTGATTTTTCATTTGTTGCGCTTTTGCATTAAAATTCCTACATTTATTTTGTTTTGGTTTTACTCTGTCCGATATTGTGATTGGAAAAGCATATAAGCAAAATGTTACTTTATAAGAAAGATATTCCTGTTTCTTCCGTTGTTCCTTATGCCTAGATTCTCCTTTATAATTGCCATCTTTCCATGTGTGTTCTTTAGTCAAGTAAATAAGGTAGATTTAATGAGAGCACAAGGTTGTAGATAGCAGTTGTTGTAACCATTCATCCTTGATTCATGCCTGAAAGTAGGATATATTTTCATAATGCAGGCATGTTTTGGAGGAAGGTAAGAGGAAGGTGAATATTTGTATCTTTTTATTCCTGCTCTTATTTCCCTCCATCCCTCTCAGTTTTGGTACACACAGTTTTGGTTTCGACAAGATTTTCTCTCTTGCCAGATATCAACCAAAGCAAATAATGTGTTCAATAGCTTTTTAAGCAGTACATAAAGTTTGCTTACATTTGCTGAGTTCTCCTGTGCACAGACAGTGAGAACACTGAAGTAGGGAAAAGCCCATCTACCTAGTGTTCCTGACAATTCTACTTCAGCCCCACCAACATCAGCAGAAGTCACTTGAAGCAGCTTACCTAACTCATGCTGTTATCTCTGTGGAGGAAAAGTCAGTGCTGGCTGGTGGAGTGATGTGGAGCAGGCATGTTCTTATCCCATTTGGTGTTCTTTTTTGTTTTGTGAGGTGAGCGCTGCTTGTCATTAAGTGTTGTATGAAAATCCTGAGTCCTGGACAAGCTCCCAGGTGACTGGGTAAGGTGAGGTAGCTGCTGTGGCACACTGCCTGAGTAATGCCATGCAGCTGTAACAGAAGTGGGAAGTCTCAGCATGCAGACGAGCCACGATGTCTAGACATGCTGCTATTATTTCTTTGCTCAATTCAGTGTGTAGCCAAATATCTTTTCAAGTGTACTAGACAGATGTGAGTACAGTGCCCACAGCCATGTAACAGCGAAGGCTCTTAACTGCATGTGTGCTCTCCTCTGCATCCCTACCAGCTTTAATCATACTGCTTGGTCATACCAGTAACCATATTCTATCATAATCAGTACCATATTCTATCAGCAGCAGAAAACACTCCTATGTGTTTATTATTAAATCTAGTGAAGATTTCTTCTACTAGTATACAACTAGAATACACCTTTGTATATTTTTATCCATTTGTATTTTATCCCTCCACCCTTCCATTCTTTTGAATTCATGTGCTTCTGGGCAAATAAAATGTACCATGGCTGAATTTCCCTCTCATGTGGCTCTGCCACTGAGAGTAGAGACAAACAACTGTTTGGAAAGTGAGTTTGTCTGTTGTTTTCCATGGCCATTTTCATAAAAGTTTTTGTGTTAAACTGAAACTCATTATCAGTTTCAGAAGTCATTTTGAAAGGAAAGAGTAGGAGACTCAGGTATGAGACAAAGCCACGGTAGCCTTTTTACTTTAGCAAATGATAAAACAAAGCAAGATTAAACTTAAAAATGGTTGTGTATCTCCCAGTAAAATAATTGATGTGGGTTTTTTTGCAGTTAGTGTTCTGATTTTGGTGGCCTTATTTACAATTTGTATAAGACTGGTTTGGTGTTGGCAGAGTTAGCCTAATTTACCTTAACTAAGTGAATATTCAGGCTGGTTTCTGGTGTTATCTTACCCGCAGCATGTACTGTATTGTGCCCAGAGTTGCACCACAGTAATAGGAGCAGCAGGGCTGACATATGAAGTGTAAGGAAAGCAAGCGGTGAATCTGTAGAAACGCAACCTTTATGAGTTGGTTTGTGTGTGTGTTTTTATGTTTTCCCTAAGTCAGTAAGATGGATTCATACTCTGCTTTCCAGTTTTGTTTAGGTAATTATTAGGATTAGAATAAAAGTAAACTTGCCAAAGCTTTTATTTTAATAAAATAAAATCTGAGATGTTTATAGAGAAGTAAGAATCATGAAGCCATTGGTGAAGGGAGAGCGGGCAGGTTGAAATGCATATAGAGAAAGCTAGTACTGTTGGGCTTGTTTAGAAAAATTGAGATATACAGCCTTCTTTGTAATGTTTCAAAGCCTAATAATTCAGCTGCTCATTCTGGTGTAGTGAGTGTGTACATAAATCACTAGCATGCTGCATCTTAGAGATGGGTTTCTTGTAGTTGCCTGTAAAGCTTACTGCATGGTAACAGTTATAATTAATTACTTGACAGACTGAATGTCACAGAGTAGTTTGTCATCCACATGCACGAGTGGCTGGTAGTTATGCTGAGGTGTTCAAGTATTCTCTGGTACACAGTAATATAAAAAGCAGAATTTGGTCCTCTTCCAAGTTTTAAATTTGTCCTTGCATTTCTGATAAGTGTGAGGCAAAGAAAAGGTGATGCAAGGTCTTCTTGACAAGCTTCTCCTACCACCTTGGACTGTGAAATTGAAAGTGATTTTCTCTCTTTTAGCTTCAACTGATTCCTGTGCCATGAAGAACACTATCTAAGTCTGCTTTTGGGAACTTCTACAGAGGAGTTTGACATCGCTGGATTTCACAGAAGGGTGTGTATATGTGTGCATATGACATAGATTCTTAATTTAGAAGAAAACATGTAAATTATAATCTGAAGTACTTGGTAATAGGAAGAAAGGGAGCCATGAGAAATTTTGATATTGTGAACATAAATCTGAACTTTGTTGTCTAACCTGGAGAGATCTTCTTGGTCATATGATGTTTGCAAATGTTTTTATGCAGTACTGCTTATATGCATTTGGCAGATCTCCTGAGACTCTCATAGGTCAGGAAAGCCCTGGAAAAAAAATCGCAAGCACTTCCAGTCATCTAGTACAGTAATTTTGTATAAGTGAGTCAATAGCATGGAACAATGACTCCATTTTTTGCCTCATGTCTCTGTTTAGGTTCAAGGGTGAACTGATGATTGCTAGTGTATTTGTTCTTGCATAGACATTCTCTGTCTAGGAAAAGAAAGCTTGTAGTGGATGGAATATTACTGTTTTTTCTTATGAAGTGAATCTTGGGGTATTGAGAGCAGGAAACTGCTATATGGTTCCTGTCTTGCTGTTTCAAGTGGAGATAGCAGTATGATTAGCAGTACCTTCTTTGTTTCAATAAAGAAAAAACGAGATAATTTTTTGAATATTATACTGTCTTCGTCATTCCTACAAAATGAGTTAACATCTTGAAGTATGCTTAATGATGCATCTCTTTCTTGAAAATGTCTTTTGTATTGTTTTGAGATATTAGACAATAAGTGCATTTTTTTGGGTCTTGAACTTAATGTTTTATGGAAAAACGAAAGAATACTAAATTTTTACCCATCTGAATTTTGTCATGGATTTCACTCAGGGGCAGATTTCAGCCTATGTCTTAGGCATGTTTAATTTTAGTGATGGTTAGGGGACCAAGACAGAATTTTACAGTAAGGATTTTTCTTGAATCCTTGTCCCATGGATTCTGGTAATTCTATGACAAGTACTCTTCTTCTGGTTCTCATGCCAAGCTGCCAGATATTTTAAAGAATGAATTTTTTTTTTCTGTCTCATTCTGTTTGGTTCTTGTTCACACTGTGTAGTTAAAGCACCTTACATTTCTAATTTATTGTCTTGGGAGACATGCTTTATGTCTTCTATAAATGTCTGAGAATTGCTGATGAGCTGTCTCTTCAATACCTATTATTTCTCTTTTGTGTTTCCTTGATGCCTAGGAGCCATACTACGAAGTAGACCCAGGACTCCACTGTGCTAAGCTTTGCACAAACGCTGAACAGAGGCAGTAGGTGATTACAGAGGGATGGTGACTAAAAGGTAGGTAAGCGACTGTATTTTGTTCAGTGGGTAGATGGTGATGCCATTGAAAGATTGTAAGATGATGTCTGTAAAAAGACTTGTGAGATGGCTTTGTAGACCATTACAGTTATTCTGCCTTTCTATTTTCCCTAACCTAAGGAAATTCAAGAAATGGAAATGGGTGGAATGCAAGAAATAGAACCTGCAAATTTCCTTTCTTCTTGCCTTTCCTAAACTGTGCTCAAAAAAGAAAACTATCTAAAAATTGGGTTGTTTGTTCAAAGAAAAATTGTAAGGGGAACTGTAAGAGTAGCATGTTTGTAGGTGGCAGAGGTACTATTTCAGGATGTTGTCCACACAAATGCTTACCCTCAGTCTAAAAATGTCCTAGGAAAAAGGAAGTCTGTATAGCTAAATGACAAGGCATAGGAGACTATTAAAAGCAAGAGAACATCTAAAAAAAACCTGTGTCAATGTTCAAAGAAGGAAATGGGACCAAAACATTCCCCTATCAGGCTAAACATAAAATTAATAAACGTTTTTCTCAATCACACCAATAGCAGGAAGCCAGCTGGAGAGTCTGTGTGGCCTGTGTATAATGACTTTATGAAAAGAATGATCTGAGGTAAAGCAATGGCAGAAAACTAAGTGATCCTTGTGCATATGTGCTTATCACTGAAAAGCATGGGGTGGTTCCTGTTTTGGAACCCTTCTTATGGGAGGCTTATGGGATTGCCTTTCCCAGCTGGAAGCATTTGTAGGTGAGATAGTAGAACAAATTGCAGGTTCCCAATTTAACAGGTACAGATGTAGTTTAACCAGTTTTTTTTTAGGAATGGTAGAGGGAAATAAAACAGAATGGTAGAGGGAAATAGCTACAGACTGTGGCATGCAACTTCTTGCTTTAAAATGTCTCAGCAATTGAGTGCTTGAAGATGTCTAATTTTATGCCATATTTCAGAAAGCATTCATGTGGAATCAGGGAGCCTAGAAACCAATAGGGCTCTTGTTTGTGGATTATTTAAAAATTGGATTAGCATATATGTTTTAGGAAGGACATTGGATAGTATGGGGGAGATACTGAGAAAGAATTGATTTCTGTGTATCAATGCCTGATTAAGAAGATATTTAAGAACTGGTTAATATTAGCCTTCAACTACTTGAAATCAACTACTTGAAATATGCTTACAAAGGTGATGGAGCCAATGTTCTTGGTTGTGTCAAACTATGTAACAGGGAGTTAACATACACAGATTGCAAATTAAATATTCTGACTGGGCATTTTAGAAAAAGCCTACCTTAGGGTAGTGCAGCACTGAATAAAGTTACCTGGAGGTGGAGTGGGGGTGGCATCTCTCCCAGTGGGAGCTTTCAAGTCTTAGTTGGACAGTGCTACAGCTGCCCTGACCTACTGTGGCTTTTAGTGATTGGTCCAGACTGGATGTCTCCCAGAGATCCCACCTAGCCAGCATATGGTGTGCTGTTCTGGTGTCCTCATCTCAGAAAAAGTGGAGTAGAACTGGAAAGGTTTCAGAGAAAGGCAAAAAGAATGAAGAGGGGCAGCAGGATGCAGAAGACATCCATGGAGCGGCATGCATACAGGAACTAACTAGATGAGAGTCTCCATAGTAAAACAGAGATAGTGACCAGATGCTAAAGCTTGCTGTTTATAAAATTATAAAAGCTGTGAGGTGTGTGGATGGAAAATGCATACTCAGTACCACCTAATTTTGTATTAGAAGAGATATGAGATGAAACAGGCAGGGAACATTTTCAAAGCTCGAAAAAAATTGTGGGTTTTTTTTTGTGTAATAAGTCATTCTGAAGTTACCTGTCACAGCATAATATGTGTGCTTCATGGGTGCATAGAGCTGCTGAACAAAATTGGAAAAAGTGGTGGAAAAAAAAGAGGAATTAAAAAAAAAAGAAGTGATAAAGTCATTACCTCTAGGCAAGGAAGTTACTGAGTGGCAAGCTGTGGGAAGTGTGCAGTGTTTTGGGGAGAGTGGAAGAGAATATTGTATATGATTGTGCTAGTTTCCACTCTTTCTTTAAACATCTGCTCTTGGCTGGTCCTGGAGACAGAGTAGGAGGTCAGGCTGAATGTTTTGCGTGAGCCGGTTTTGTCATTTCATTTGGGCTAAACAGACAGCTTGACCTGCTGTGGTGGTTCTTACATGCTATTTTATAAACAGTAAGGTTGCAGGGTGCAGTCCCAGAAGAGAACTCTGTTACTAGAAGTATTTTTAAAAATGCTAAGCTGTTATGTAATTTGAGGTCTCACACTGTGCTTGGAGACTTTTCCCTCATTGTAAGATAAATGCTTTTAATCTTATTTTGGCACTTGATAAATTACAATTAAATTTGTTTTAATATGTCCAAGCTGTTTCATTGAGAGTTCAGTTCTTAGTCCAGAAATCTCAGTTTTTTGCTTAGTGTGTTCTCTGTACATTATGTAGTGCTTTTCACACAGAGAAGAATTACCAGAACTCCTTTTTTCAATATGTAAGTTCTACTGACACCCATTTTGTTGTAGAGCGAATATCCTTTGAGGGAAGAGATAATCCTTTGAGGGAAGAGATAATCCTTTGAGGGAAGATGAAACAACAAAGCCTAGAAAGAGTACAAAGATAAGAAAAGAGTGCTGAATTTGGAGATACTTCTGTGTTTGTGAATTAGTTTGAGAAGCAAAATGTTGAAGTTATATTATGACATCAAAGGGGAAAGGCTAACAGTGTGGCAGGGTTTCATAATGATAGCCATTGAAATGACCAGAACAGATACAGATACAGAACAGATACAGCTACTGGAAGAAAGAGGGTCATAGGAGAAGATTAGTGGAAAATAGGTAAATTTATCTGAAGGAATTGAATGAAAAGAGGTAAGTAAGCAAGGTTGAGAAACTACTAGTTAAGTTCTGAAGAATTAACAGAATTTTAGGAGCTCAGAGAGGAACAGATACTGGGAATAAAAGAAGCAGTGTCTTTGGTTTTCCATCAGTGGTTTACGCACCTCAGATAAATGGATCTATACAAGTATTAAAGAATATTCAAATTTCCTGTACCAGTATCTGTACTTCCTCTGTGAAGTTTTCCAAGGGGATTTGAAATCAGAAAACACAGAAGGAGAAAACAATGTTTTTTGCATTAGATTAGAGAGGTTAGTTGCTCTTGGTAAAAATGAATTTTGTTAAAATAGTAGCAAAAATGAGACTAAAAAGCTGAAATGGAAACTCTAAGGATTTCTAAGTAACTTGGCCAAAACTTGCAAAGACACAAATGGTATGAATATTTCAAATAGTGATATACAGTCCTGATGAAAGAGTATTTTTCTTGCAGGAAGAGGGGATAAAAGGGTGTGGTTTTAGATAAATGGAATAGAAGCAGTTACAAGGGAAAGAAGAAGAGGTATGTAACATAGGTCATTACTAATTTAAAGTATTGCTTAGGTCAGCCATTTCCCTACCCACCTAATTCTTTGAGCTCATCCATTTGTGAAGAAAAGTCCTTCTTCCTGGCCCTTGTAACTCGTTTGGTGTCTTCCTTGTGGCACTGTGTGTGTAGTGATTGGAGGTTTCCCTTTGTTGGGGGCTTGTGGAATTTTAACAAATTAAACATAACAACGAAAAGCTTATTAGTAGTAGTTGTTGTTCTTTGTTAAACGGAACTTGCGTGGCTTCAAAGCAGCAATAGCAATTTCAGAGTTGAAGAAGCTTCATTCTCTTTCAGACACTGTGCCTGGTATGTGACATAACCACAGACCACTGAGCTGCAAACAACTTTGTACTGAAGTGATGAATTGTGCTGTGCTTTAATCTGCATACAGGGTGAAGAAGGATCAGGGAGGAATGGATGAGGTCACTATGTCTAATGGAAAGACCCTTTGTTTCTTGCTACAGAAAATTAGACTCTTAGCATTAAAGCTAGTTAAATCTCTGAGATTAATGGCATCTAGAAGCAGGGTTTCAACACCTGGTGTGAAACTAAATGGTCTTTGATTTATAATTTTTTTTTTTTTTTTAATGCTGAAAATTCTGTTAGGGATGAGGTTCAGCTTCTCCCCCACTGGCTTCTCCCACAACTGCCTCTTCCAGGTCATACTCCTTGCCATACAGAAACCTTTTAAGTATTCCAAATATCTCTCATTTGCCTGAAGTCTCTTGAGTTCCTTTCTTTCATCTTGATTGAAAATGTCTAAAGAATTTATAGAAAAGGGCAGTGTTTTGAGATCCATTGAGTTGACTCTGTTGATCCAGGTTTATTTGCAGTGCATGCACTAAAGTATGTATAATCTATGTGCTCTGGAAGCCCTTTCTACAACACCACTGAAGCAGTTTGAATTATTTTTCACTCGGCTTCAGATTGCATCTTTATAAAATACGGTGTATTCCAGTGCTGGAAAACATGCAAGATTGATAGCCCTGGAAATTGAAATCCCTGTTTATCCATGTACTAGCTAGCATAGCCTAGCTGTAGCAGAATCTCTATCTTGGCAGTACAACTCACATTTAACCTGATGAGATGACCTTCAGTTATTTATTATTTAAGGAGCACTGAAGGTTTGCAAAGATTTTTCACAGTGAGAGCAACATGTTTCAATTTGTGTTTTCAACATCTTTCTATATGATGTGTTTATTACAGTATAAATACAGGTTTGTGTCTTTAAAAAAGCAGAGCTGTGAACTCTGCACTGGATTTTTCCTGTGAAAGAGATGTGGTTATGTACAGTTATGTAATTAGTTGTAGAAATTGATAAGGCTGTAATGAAAAAAAACCAGAATGCATCATGGTGACATTAGCAATGTAGAATTTCTGCTAGATCACTCTGCAACTGCCCCATCAATATCATGGTGAAATGGTTTGTAACAGAGGAAAGACTTGGCCAGGTATGAATGCAGAAAGGAGCGCAATATGGCTCTTGGGTATACATCTTGGTGGTCTCAGGCAGGACTCGCTAAGGACTAGCTATATAGCTCTAAGGACCTTACAGACTGCAGGTCGTTCTAAACTAATGGTGTG